TGTAGGCATTAAAAAATGTCAAATTTTAAAATATATTTACCCTAGTAAAAATCTTAGAAGTTAGGGTAATAAATCTTTAAAGAGATATTATCTCTTTAATTTTTAAAAAAATAATAATAAATAAATATATTAAAATGACTAAATTATCCTTAAAGTGAAGGATATTTGAGGTCATTTGGCAACATCCTTTTGCCTATAAATAGGCCATCAGAAGCAAAAGAGAAAAGAAGAAAAAGAAGAAAAGGAGAGAGGAAGAAGGAGAAAAGGAGAGGAACAACAAGCTTCAAGCTTCCTCAACAATTCTCGAAATTTCAACTCCAACCTCCTGCCAAGGGTAAGCTCCAAATCCATATCGAGGAGGAAAAGTTTCAAGTGCAAGTCTTAAATCCCTTGAAGGACAAGAACAAGCTCAAGCCCTTGCCCTTACCCTAGTCCATCTTCAAAGAAGCAGAAATGCAATAGAAGTCCTCAAAGAGAGCCAGACTCTTTACAACATCCACTTTCTATGCCTGCTGCCCAGCAAACCTCCCGTCAAGCTTTGTATGAAGGTAAGCACGTTTCCTCACCTTTTAAAGAAAATCGGACGAGATTCCTCCATCTTTCAATGAAGTCTGTCACAGACTCATCTTTCTTTTGCTTGGTGTTAGCAAGCTCAGGGAGGCTTACAGTACGCTTGGTACTGTAAAAACGTGTCAAGAATTCTCGCTCTAACTGGTCCCAACTATCCACTGACCCAGCAGGAAGGTCAGTGTACCATTCAAAGGCTACGTCCTCCAAGGACCGGACAAACTGTTTCACCATGAGGTCCCCATAGGTGCTAGCATTGTTGCATGTTTCAACAAAATGGGCGACGTGTTGCCTTGGGTTGCCCTTCCGTTCATCAGTAAGACCTTCTTGAATGGCGATCCTGAGAGATGGAATTTGGCATTCCAAAAGGAGAACAGCTTCAACTCCATACACAAGGGAATAAGGAGTTGCTTTTGTTGGAGTACGATGAGTCGTTCGATACGCCCAAAGTGCTTCACCAATTCTTTCATGCCAATCTCGCTTGGACTTTGAAACAACCTTCTTAAGGAGATTGCAAAGGGTTTTATTAAACGCTTCTGCCAGTCCATTCGCAGCAGCATTGTACATGGAGGAAAAATGTTGGGCAAACTTGAACTTTAAACATAGCTTGTCCATGAGACTGTTGCTAAAGGGCTTGCCATTATCTGTAATTATTGAGAGGAGCATATTACGAGGCAGGATGTGTTAAATGACACTGGAGTAGCATTTTTTAAGCCCTTGCCCTTCTAAAATTCAGCTGTTAATCAGAGGATCGTGCTGTTTTAAAACGTGTTACTGTTCAAAGTCCAAGCACGTGCACTGCAGCACTCCAAATCGGAGATTGTTTCCCATTTTTCTTCAAGTTTATAATACTTTGTATTTATTTTGCAAATCAATACATATTATTTGATTTTGCAGATTTTGTGACTACACCTATAACTTTGTACACCCCTCAGGGGCTAGGACATGTGGCTAGTGCCATCGGAGCCCCTGTCTGTCTTGATAACGCCACAGAAGAGCGTGTTCA